AATTAAAGCTAAAATTCTGTTCTTATCAATTGGAATTTTCTATGTTGAAATATATGAATTTAGAAAATAAATATAATCAACAAACAAGTTGTAGTAGGGGAGCTAGGTAGGTTTCCGTGGCTTTTTTAATTAGGACGGATCCACCATGATTATTTTAATGTATTTTTGTCTGCTGAATACGATGATTGATGGTGGGTTGCTGTCCAAGTGAAAAATCTTTTGTTATAATCAAATTTTATAAACATATTTTAAAATCTTACAATTTTGGTTAGCAAAAAATTTATTTTGATCCCTTCCCACATTCGAAACAATCTACAACCAGTAGACAATGGGTGTTTGGATTTTTATTATAAAGTACATGCTTTAAGGGAAAATTTAAGATCAAGTGAGTTGAAAATAATGCACTGACAGCTAAGAAACACTTGGTCGGAAATCGCAAAAAACGCCTTTTTTAAAACTCAAAATATATTTAAATAAAAATCTGTGGTGTTTACGTATATGCATCCTATTTGATTTTTGATCAAAATGGACTAAAGAGTCAGAATTCACTTCTTGTTTACCAAAATTATAAAATTTTATAACTGGCCTATAAAACTTGTTAATAACTAAAAATTATGCACTTGGACGAGCACTCACCATTGGCTCGTTCTAAGTAGAAAACCAGGTGTGGGTCTCGGGACCCTCGGCAGAAGTAAAACTTTCAACTTAAATGTTATTAAACACGGTATAACAGTAACTGAGAAAATTAGATTACATCTTATTTCAATAGGTCTTTGAGAACTCAGTATTAAAATGCTAAAAATGTTATTATTATTACGGATTTGAGCACGCGCGCGCATGAAATACATATACTTATATATACTACTTATGTTACACGTAATTCTCGCTTTCTAAGTACTTCTATGTTTGCTTTAAAATATGATTTAATACATGTACTAATTGTTGGTCATGTAATGCAGAGTGAAACAAAAATTTTCATCATATATGTACGATCCATTCTTGTTTAAAGCATTGTACCCGACAAATAATAATTTTATTTTATTTTTGGCTACCATAAAAGTAAAATAATCCACACTATCTGATTGATATTAAGGAAAACAAAAGACATATTGCTATTTTCCATTGTAAAGTCGTAATTTTTCATTCAATTTGTTTCCTATGATTATTTATAATTTAATATAAAATGTACCCGTGCTTATTACTTAATTCTACTTATCTCAAAATTAATAATAAGAATATATGTTTTGGTCACTCAACAATTATTCTTATAATACATGATAGAGAATAGAAAATTAATGAATTTACAGGTCGGATGTGTAGAATGTAGCTTTGTTTTTGAGATATGACTTATTATTTTTAAAATTATTACAATTGTTTGTATGAATCTGTGTAACATATATTTTTGCACCTCAATAATTGCATCTCAATCAGCTTGAGCAAGCGCATTGGCTTAGTAGTGGCGTAGAAACATACATACCTACAATTCATATATATATATATATATATATATATATATATATCGGTAGAGTAGCAGCGTGAGAGGAAAGGAGCGTGGGAGCGCGTGGCGTACATGCAAGAGAGACGGAGCGGTAGATAGCAAAGCGGCGCGCGCTGTAAGAGACAGGGACGGAGTGGGAGGGAGTATGTAAGAAAGGAGGAGAGGGCTTAGGCCGCAGGATGGGTGGCTACGTTTTTTCGTAATGCATTTCTCCTAACGCGGCTGTTCACTGACCAACAGAAGAAGTTTCACTTACTACTATTATGTCTTATCTGGTCTTATCTGAATATTTAATAAATTTACTAAAGCCGGAAATAATTGAATTTCACAAGAATCCAAATTATATCGTTTAAAGTTATTTACAATATTTCAACAAGTTTTAATTTTTCTTAACTCAACTCACTTCTATGTTCGATAGTTAGCCGCATCTTGCGTGCACGCAATCGCAAGATCTTACAAGGTTGATCACAACGATGGTTCTAATCCTATACGAGACAACACGGAGGTATAATTTGGGTTGAGAGAGCTCGTACTCTTACTGAACTAATATAGTTCAACACAATGAGGCTTTCACTGTCCTATGTTTGTGTTGATACAGTTTGACGCACCGCTAAGCTGTAAGAGCCCGAAGAGAGGGGGCGAGCGAGCCGAAGGCTTTGGACTCTTTCATGACAATCTCGGAGGCTCACGGCCTGACGATAAATATAGATATATACACAGACAGAAAAAAAGTGTGAGATGTGCAGACACATACGTATTACGTAACTGTATGCATAATACCTATATATACGTATATGATACCTACGTCCACAGTGACATGCATGGCTAAAAATTATAATCTTTTTAATGTTAAGATTATGAAAAACAATTATTTTAAATAAAATAACATAAATTTTGAAGGAAAAATAATAACCTCAGTAATTTTGTATACAGTTATTATTTCTGTAAATTAAAAGAATGATTCGTACAAAGATTTAATTAAACATCATATCTAGTTGCTACATACATTTCACCATTAAGTTTTACACATACGCAAGGCTCAATATTTAGTAACATTTTAAAACAACGTAACTGTTTTGTTAGTGTGTTTATTGTCACTTCAAAAGTATAGCAGTGGTGTTTAAAATATAACATATCCATTTGCCGAAGTGAAAAGTAAATATCACCAAAAAAATAAAAAATTTTTGTAATTATACTGAACTGAGGACCATCATCACAAACATTGCTAATAATTACACTAATAAGTATAAACTACTTAAAGAACAACATTAACAAGCTATACATCGTGTAAATAGTTCAAACGGCCGCAGCTGATGCGAGTCCATGCTTTGCGCGTCGTAAGAAAAAAGAAATGCAAACATATGCACATATGTACAACATTAGTGTATAGCGCTGCACACCTTTTCCCTCTCTCTGACTATATCTATGCATATATACATCTATGTTTATCGTTAGACTGTGAGCCTCCGGGATTGTCATGAGAGAGTCCAAAGCCTTGGGCTCGCTTGCCCCCTCTCTTCGGGCTCTTACAGCTTAGCGGTGCGTCAAACTGTATCAACACAAACATCGTACTGTAGTTACCCTTACAGTTGGTACTGAGTAAGCTTGATGTTGTGTTGGACTCTGACTACACAACTTTTGCACTCTCTCAACCCAAATTATACCTCCGTGTACTCGTGGCGATGATAATAAAGCTAATGCTTTAAAGTAAGTCGACAGTTGCCTGATTTGCTCAAGCTTTTCTCCTACAGCTTAGTCACTACACTAAGTCTTACTTTTGCTTGAAATGCATACTTCTAACACGCAGCCTTATCACCGAGTTAAGTCTTATATTCTCTTAAAAGACGAAACTGAACTAACTCTTCAACCTTTATAGTTACTCAAGAGCACTAAAAGGAAGAGAAAAGGTGAAAAGAAGGACACATCAGGTTGGAGATTCAGACGATAAGTCATAGCTTAACCTCATTACGCTCGAATTTTACATTGGGTACAAGTTGTTGTCGAAATTGTGTACAATATTTCTTGTGGTTCATACGCAGTAATGAATGTTGAAATAGTTGATTGTTTATATTCTTGAATGTAGTAGGGCGAATTGATATTGTAAGATTGTTGAAGATTGCACATTTAGTTTCAGTTTTGCAATGGTAGTTCTTTTTAAAAGAAGTGATTTATACGTCTTGCAATTACAGAAATGGGTACAAAGCTCGATTTTTAAAAATCGCTTACCGTTTACATTTAATAATTTTAGAGTGAAACTGGCTGTTTAAAAATAATAAATATTAAGTGTAAGACATAGGATGTCACAGAGGAGTAAAAATTAAACTTGAATGACAGGCATTAAACTTATTAAATGTGTTTAGCAACTAAATGGACCCTGACTGAAACTCTGCTAAGTGTACCAAATGATATTCTTTACTAGAAATTTTTTCCAAGAATTTTTTTGCTAGATTATGAATGATTTTTGCGAATTTTTTTTTTTGTAATGTTCACTGTGCATATACAACATTTATTTTAAAAGTACCAATGGATTATTTTGATAATTTTTTATCAAAAACAATCAATATTTTTATCATCTATACACTCGTTTCACTTGCTTCTTTGTCGTCATAAATAATATTGAAATTCATAACTCGGTATTAAGAAGTATGACTATTTATCAACATAATTATTTACACAGATCAGTATTTCGCTGTCCTACTGACAGCCTCTTCAGGATTCAGATCATGTAGGTGTCAAGACAACAAACACGTAATAGGAACACCCATGGCGCCTATATTTCTGTCCACATATTACATTTACTCAACTTAGTTACAGTAACCCTCATGCTATGAAAAGTTAGTTATATGATAATCAGAAAAATCAAAACAAATGTTTATCCAAAAGTCATACATGGACGGCACAGACATATCAAGCGTAAAACGTGACATGACGTTTTAGCACCGTCCATTTATGACTTTTGGATAAAAATTTGTTTGATAAAAATTGAAGAGGCTGTCAGTAGAACAGCGAAATATTGATTTGTGTAAATAATTATGTTAATAAATAGTCATGCTTCTTACACCAAGTTGTGGATTTCAATATTAATTAACATTTTTACTCTGTTTACACTTAGTTTTTACAAGTAATTATATTTTTTAACTAAAATGTTTTACCAACTACCAAGCGAAAACTCAGTTGATCAAACATATTTTTCAGTCTTATTTTTTAACTTATAATCATCTGTTGTCTATAAAAATCATACAGTCATTACTATTTTAATAAATTTCAGAAATGGTAATAATAACCTAAAAATTTAATAGAATAAATCAAAAGTTGCGAATTGTGAATACACAGCATATTCTATAGATATTAGTAGAAATTACCAGGAAAAAGTTGTTCATGAATTGTTCAACTACGAACATGTATTCTTATCTCATAAAAAGGAATTAGTCAATATTTACTATTTATTAGAATGTATATGGCAAAAAAATAGTCAATTAATAATTTTTTTCTTTATTTTAAGGTTCATGTAGTTGCTGATGCACCTCATGGAGTAAGTTGGGATAGTAAGAAACATACGGGGTATGTTGGTTTAAAAAATCAAGGAGCAACGTGTTACATGAACTCTTTGTTACAAACTCTCTACTTTACTAACCAGGTATTTTTTGTACATAATACTTTAGTAATAATTTTTTAATCTATTCATCTTATGTCATTCCATTTTCCCAACAAAGTATTGTGTTGTACCAATCTACGTTATGCTTTACTTGAAAATCATCCAAATTTACTTTAAGAAACACTCTGACAGAGTGAAGAGAGATCAAAGTTTCTAAATTTTCTTACTGTTTTTTTAACTTAACTAAAGTTATTTGTAGTTCGTTGCGAAGTGTTAAATCGTTGCAGACAGAAGGTTGTTTTTGCATTGATAAGTCGATATTTAACTTGTCTAGATCTCGTTCTTTTTGCAAAAAAACTGACAATCATAAAAAAATTAAAACCCGATCTCTTGCAATGTACCGAGATGATACTGAGATCTCGCATACATTCCTACGCATACAGCCTCTGATTGCGAATTTTCGGTCCAGCAATTGTGAATGTCCGAAGCCCGAAAAGCCAGCATGCAACTTCCGAAAACACTAATCCTCAATTGTTAATCACTCATAACTTAGTGCGCCATAATTATTCTATTAAATTTACTATAAAATACGTTTCTCTTCTAAACGCAAGTATGGAATCTCAAACAACCCAATATACTAACTTGCTTCTGAATAACATTTCACCTTTATTTGTTTCAATCAAAAACAAATAATTTCCAGTTGTACAATGTGTTTGTTTTCTGCATATTTTATTTTATAAGTAAAAAAAATTTGCAGCAGCTAATTATTCGAAGTCTGACCCTACATTTTCGTGTCCAATTGAGGTCGGCCGATCCACCTTTTTTAATCTATGCTTTTTAACTACTTGATAGAATGGAGAAGGGTGGATGACTTAGAATCAGTATTATTAAATTTTTGTCAAACAAATTGTAGCAATAAATTGGAAAATGCGATTTCTTACCTTGACCCTTTAGTTTTCAAGTAAAAAATTGTCAACGTTTAAAAGCTCATAATTTTTCATAATTTTGGCTGGACGTTATTCAGAATTTTCTTGCCCGATTATTATCTGTTTTGTTGAAACTATTATTTTTAACGCACATTTTCAGATAAAAAAAAAAGTTAAGGAATCGTGCTACAATGGAAGACTGGTATTTTCTTTATTATGGTATAATAACGATAGTAAGTATACCTGAAAGTTTTTTCTTATTTGAAAATGTATGTTTAAAATAATTGTTGAGGCTACAATAGACAGTGATAGCGCAGGAAGGTTTTGAATAACGTTGAATGAAATTGTGACAAATCAAAATTTTTTAAACTTCGGGAATTTTTTACTTTGAAGCTAAGAATTTTAAGAATACACATGCTAATTAGTTTTTTTATGTGAAATGTGCCAAACATTGTTATAAAACTATTATTGGGAGTTAAGGAAGTCAAAATGCAAGGAATAAAAAAGGGTTGAACGATGGAGTTCGATCAGTTAGTAACACATAGGGCTAGTCGCTTACTTGATCTCTAGTAATTTTATGCGCTTGCTATTTTTTTTTGTTTATCTCATAAATAAACAAAGTACCAAACATTACTCCTCAGTAATCCAATGTTTTCGTTTGTGTGCATTTTCGTATGTTAATTTTAGTAACTTAAATGTTAGCAGTCAATTTCTATTTATTTTTTATTAAGTGATAAATTAAATTTTAAAAAGTCAATCTTTAGTGATTTAATGCGATCGCATGCCAGTATTTTTTATTTTAAATGCAACTGTAATCTAATTATTTGCAACAGAAATATTTTCTACTAAAGCAAGTGATTCATCTATTCCTTAAACAAAATGCTAAAAAAAATTTTTAAATATTATGGATTAAGTCAAAGCCATAAAAACTCAATGACACAGCGTGGTTAAAAAATTTTCTTCATTCAATGAGGAAAAGTTATTGAAGTCATTACAAGAGGTCATGGGTAAGCTCCCAAATCCATTATAAAATATCTAAGTCGACTTCAAATGCCAACTGACGTGCTAGCTCAGTTAGCCTTGTACATGTTAGCATAAAAGCATATAATTTGGTAAATCTATGAAACCACTATTTATTTCATGAAATAACATGGCATTTTAGTTAAAGTATAAAACTAAGTGAAAAATCAACATTATAACTAGGTACTTTGTAAAATAACTATTAATTCTATGAATTAACTGTTTGCTATTAGTTAGAGTATTAAAAATCAGGTTTATGCAGTTTAAGCTTCATCTATTTTCATCGATTCCATTATGATAATACTTTAAAAACTTTTTGTTACATTCACTTATTACAGCTAGTCATTCTGCGATGACATCGAGAATCATATAATCTGCAATTTTGAAAGCAGGCACACTTCTTGTTTTGATATTTTGTTTTACAAGAACACTTTTGCATACCTCGTCCAGTACCATTGCTTTGTACAGTAGTGACGGAGCGTACAGGTATTACATTATTTGGAATCTCATCCAAGGTCAATAAATTTTCATCGCATACTGTGAACTGTGTTCGAGCATAGAGTTACTTCAATTTACCATCTAGCGTTCCTAAACAGTAAAACTTATCGTCAGTAAAAAAAAACTTATATTCCGAATTCAGCTGTGACTGGAAGTCAATGAAATCTATTTGAAATTCTAAGCTTAAGTTTTAGAGAATCGATGCGACTACTATTCCTTTTTGTATTCCTTTTCTTTTTATTGGCTTGGTTCACAAAAATTAAAAAACGCTTATTAAAATTTGTGTAATATTTTTATGACGACGATTTACTTCTTTCATAATTCGATCTTTACCGCCATGCAAAAACATGCGTATCACATAATACATCAAAAAGCGATTCATTCGAGTAATAATACTTCACTTTGACTTTTTCTTCAATCACTGGTGTTATTAACTTAATAAACCCTTGCATACTTAACACATTATAGTGTTGGTGCAGCCAGTAGTATCGAGAATTTTTTTTTATCTCACCAGCCTTTTTATCTTAACTGTTTTGATTAACTAAAAAATTTTTTTGTTAGAAAGCTGTAAATATTTTTTCTTCTGATAAACTTGTCCCTTTTTCATAAAAGTTTTGTTCACTTAAACTTACACTTAAACTTCTTCACTGACTATGTTAAAATTATACAGTCAAGCAAAAAACCAACAGCAAACAATTTGTAAAACACCACACAACGACTCTTTAAAGCTTTATTGCATAACATATGAGAGGCTGATGACAGCAGAAGCTATACTAATGCAAATGTATAATGTGCACTCATAGACAGGTAAATTGTGCATTTACTGTCGCTCTCTTCTCTGCTTACGTTTTTTGAGCTATGAAGTAATTGCTTCGATGTTTATTTCAGATTTTCAGTGACACTCTGCCGTTATTTTATAGAATAACTAGTTGAATTATTAAGTTACACACTTTAACTGATCGTATTAGTTATTCTACTAAATAACTAGTGATTCTATCAATTCATTGATTTCATACTTCCACGCTGATATAAACACTTTTGGATTTTGTGGCCTAAGATTCAAGACTCTATGACAGCTTTTTTTTTCTCATTTTGCAATTTTTTTTATTACGTATATTTATAGCTTCAATAAAGTTTTTTTTTATTTATTTTTAATTATATCCGATTTACATTATTTTAATTATTTTGAGTATGTGTCAAATATGCTCACGAAGCTGGTATGCTTTAGGTGTGCAATAATTTATTTTTATATGTACCCTGATATTTCTACACAATTGCACACTCATTATAACAATTTGACCTTTCGGTGAAGTATTGACATTTCTATCGAATCCATGTGCTTAAGGGTTGTTGTATGAGAATACACTGAATATTTTTACGCATTAGTTCACTCTCAACTTATAAACATTTGTTTGGAATTATTTTAATATAAATGAGGATCTATGAAACGTTGAAAAAATTTGTTGCGTAAGTTAGTTAGTAAATTATTAATATAAAAAAAACCCTCAAAAGTGAATGAAAACGTCGTATTCACACACATTTAGAAAAAAATTCCTAAAATAACAAAAAAAAATTCTTACGAGTCTTCAACCGGATATTGTCACATTAAAAAGCGTTTGTAAAGCCATCTAAGCTAACGTGGTGGTTGATGTTTAAAGTAAAAAATATAAATATATTCATGATGAGTTTATTGCTCAGTCATAAATTCAAGATAAGATTTTATTTAAATTCAGTGTTATTAGAGTTGATAGTTTAATGTCAACCGTATTAAGAAAGGAAGTATTGAGAAACGAAAAAAAGGAATATGCCGCTGGAATATACCTAGTCAGAAAAGAAGGAAACAGGTGGTTTGAGTCCAACAACTTAGAGGTCAGTGGAACAGACAAACCCATTTATTAAAGATACGTACACGAAGAGAAGAAGAAAAGGAGAAACCATGAAAATAGTAATAATGACAATAATAAAAGTAATGATAAAAATAATAGTATTAATAACAATAGTAACAATAATATTTGTAGTAATAATAATAGTAGTAGTAGTAGTAATAATAATAAAAATAATAAAAATAATAACAAAAATAATAACAATAATAATGATAATATTACTCTGTATAAGCCTTAATGGGCTTGAGGTACCACTAAGAGATTAGGAAGGGGAGTGGGGTGAAAAAATAAAAAATACGTATAGCTGGAAACAGGTCTTTGCTTTAGTGCTGTTCTACAAAAAATTACTGCTCTACTTGTTATCGGGTAAGCAGTATCGTATCCCAGTATCCGTATCTGACTGCGCTGCGTGGTCTATAAATAAATCAAGAAAACTCTATTTGTTTTGATAAGGGTGAGGAGCCTTGTGTGGTGATAGAGCGGAGCATCTTACTAGTTTTAAAATTTTCGTAGAATGCCGGTTATTTAAATCTCCAGACGCCATCTTGTTAAGGATGTAAGAATTTTTTTATTTTATTCTATTTTATTTGATATTTATTCCTTCAGTCGTAAAATCTCAAAACTCTTGAAAGAGTCATACTTAACGAAAGTCATCACCTAATAGAGCTGACTGTGCACTTCGTGGCTCTCGGAAGTGTCAAGTGACAACCAGAGT